GGGGGGGGGGGGGAACCAAAACTTGGTCGGCTTGTTAAGTTGTTTATTAGTAGAGGCGCCACAGTACATAGAAATTTAAATAAAACCTGCAAATTCAAAGGGGGGGGGGGTGGGCGGGGCGGGGAATGCCCCATCCTGCCCTACCCAAATGACGTCCCTGCTTAAAGGTCCAATGATTAATAAAGGACTGAATTTAGCAAAACCACAGAAACTGGTTTAGGCACATAACCAAAATATGGACCTTATCAATATGTACTGTTTTCAATAAATATCCTAAACCGCAATATAGATAGACCATAAAACCTAGGGCTTGGAAGCAGAATGGGAACTCCATTTTGTTACAATTTTTACCTACCCTTTATAATAATTACATTACATTAAAAACATAACCCCATTTTTTTTTCTTTGTCCTTATTTTAAAATTAATGTCAAATATGTTTCTTCCACTCTTAAAAAAATATATATATATATTTGAAATCCACCTCTCAGATAGATAAGTAATGGTTTTCATGGTCACTGTGAACTAGTTAGGAAATATAGTGTTTCTAGTAAAGAGCAGAAAAATTCAAGGTCTACTCCCACAATGAATTTCTTTAGTTGTAGATGAATGAAAGTGTTAATGATACAGTTTTAACTTACTAGATTCATACAGCAATAAAATTCAGTATGTGCATATTTCTCCTTAATAAAATCCTTGAAAATAACAACTTCCTCCCTATAGTAAAAAAAATAAAATAATTTACATATAGTAAAAAAAAAAAAATAATTTACAGATAATTCATTGAACACTAATAATGACATTTTTTTCAAAGATATTATTTTAATTTTTACTCTGGCATGCATTTTGTTTAACTTGAAGTTATAAAGAAACACAAGCTCATTAACTTTCAAGTCGAGCTTCCATTGAAATTATGTTTTGATGTTACAAAATATGAACCTATTGATGTTAATGGATCAAATTACTTCCTACGAGCCAATCATCCATCCTGGATGATTCAGAAAAACGAATGAAGTCATTCACAAATAAGACTGGCTCGAAATTTAGGATTTAAACAAGTTACTGCTTTAACTTTTCAAATACAGTATCACAAACTTTAAAAAAAATCATTTAAATTTCCTGGTAAATTTTATTTGAGGAATTAAAGACCTAAGAAAGTTACAAAGTTTAAATTTTCTGATTTTGACCAAATTTTGTTTTAAAAAAATGCTATAGCACCTATTTTTATGAAATGATATTTCCTACCCTTTAAAAAAGCCAATATCATGTTTTACTAGTAATTTCTTTACAGTCTGTGATTCATTGTACTACAGATCAGTAAAGTGCTTATGGAGTTTTTCCAATACTCGTAACAGAATTAAAAAGAAACACATTGGACAGAATGCTAAATAAATACAAGGAAAAAAAAAACCTTCAAGAGCATTACATTTTAGCTCAATAGGAAGGCAGATGTGCGTACCATCCTGTAGATGATGTAAACATGTACCTCTAGTCATTATCACAATTTTTTTTACATATGAGTTACATTTCCCATACCATTCATATAGTATAGTATTACTATGTAAAAAAAAGGAAACTATTGGAACAACAAACACCAGTCAGGGCGTAACATTTTGTTTACAAGGACCAATTCAACATCCAGGAGCTCATCTGTACACTGTCCATAACACTTTGTCTGGTTAGACCTGTGACATACCGGTAAGCAATGTTAACAGTAACAGTGGTTTATAAATATTATATTCATCAAAAGGTGAAATTGTCTCATATTCAAACTGTTGCACTTGTGTGTGGTAACAAATCATAAATCAATGGGACATGATTACAGATGGAGCCAAACAGGTTGTTTTACAAAAAATATCTTGTCTGTACAAATGAAAAGACACCGGTTATTGAAAGTAATGACAAATTTTTTTTACAAATTAATGTCCTTTGATCCGTGTTACCGTATTTATGTTGTGCTTAACATAAAAAAATAGATCAATTTACTGTGTGCTTTGAAACAACACATTTTCTTAGATCGTTTAAATCATTACGCTCTTCACCTGTGCTACAAGTCTTGCTTTGAAGTACATTAAAGTACAACTGGTAGCCATAACCCGACATAAACAGTGTCAGCATTTTATTCTATAACTCATTTCTGTACGTTATTTACCCCACCAGGCTGCTTTTTAAAAAAATATTTTATAGTACCCTAAACTTTATTGAATTTAAATAGCAAAGTGACCTCTGACCCCATTTTATTTAAAAGAAGTGCCTTATGATCCCAATACACTTTAATGGGGTAAATGAAAATTCATTAAAAATATAATTTTTGGTAAATATTAAACAATTCAAATATAATCTTAACTTAAAATATATTTCATGTGATAATTTAGATTATAAATCGTTCACAAACTTTAAAATTTGGGTTCAAGTTTTCGCTCATGCTAACCTCATGCCAAGCGCAACATTTAATGTTTCATTTAAAATTAAGAAATGTTGAAAATCTACTCTACATGAATATTTCTTAAGAACATTACTCTCTTTAGTTTAATTTTTCAGCAGACAACTCCACAGGAAACAGGAGTTGGGAACCCTTGAAATAAGATTAATATATAAATAGACTTTTTTTTTTTAATGTGTGCATATACAAAAGGATCTTAAACAATAGCTAAATACTATGAACATAAGAATGCCCATTATTTCATTTTTTTTAAATTTTAATCTGGCATTTTATGCTTTTTATGTAATTGATATACCTGTTAAAAATTCTTATTGAACAAATCACTCTATTTCAAAACATGTAATAATATGATATAAATTTAATTAAGCAATTTTTTTTCTGATGGCAAATAGTTCAAATATATTTTTTTCCTTTTCAGTTACTTTGATATTTTTAATGAAAGGAAATATTAATGTTTTTAATTTAAAATAATTTTGAATTATTCACCACTAACAAAAAAAAAAAAAATATTAATAATAATACTAAAGAAATTAACAATTTAACAGTTTGTTAGATATGAAAAGGAAGTTTCTGAAATATAATTTCAATGTTTATCATTGTTTTTTAAAAAGCACTGAATTATGTCAAATGAAGCTTTAGAACATTTTCACCAGTCCATAAAAGAATGTTCAGAGTTATTTAAGACATTGGTGTCAATTATTGCTACATAACAGATGTGGTTATTATAATTATAATAAGCTAAACAAATACATCTGAGGCTAAATTAGTCACTATGACAGACAGACCAAGTACTTCGTTTGTGGAACCCAAGAGGAAAAGATTCTGTGTTTGATCTCAATTCGGTCTTGGTTCTGCACAGTGTGAGTACATTGTCTCAAAGCTGACTGTTTTAGCTTTTCCTTGCAAAAGCACCTTTACATTACATTTTGTAATATTTTAAATTTCCTCTCCATGACGTAAACTAAGAGTTGTTGACCAGAAAGTGCAAATGATCATTACTAGCTGCATCTGATTTTGCACAACTATCTTCTGATATTTCATCGTCTCCATTCTCTTTTTTTACTTTTGTTACATGTTGAGCCTGGACAGCTGCTGTTGCGGTGGCGTGAGTGAGGAAAAGGTCCCGTAACACACCCAACTCTTTGTTAAGAATTGTCACTTTTTGTTCCAAGGCCCAGTTTTCTTCTCGGAGACGAGCAACCTTTTCCATTGTGTCTTTTGCCTTCTGTCGGCTAGCCTCTCTGCTTTTACGCACCGCCACATTGTTACGCTCTCTCCTTTTTTTATACTCTTCACTATTCTTATCCAATTTTTGCCTCTTGGTACCACAGGGTTTGCCAGACTGGGAGTCACCTTCGGATTCTGTATCATATGAGTCGTATGATTTCTTTGGAGGCATGACTTAACCGGAAGTTGTTTACAGCACAGCTTTCTGGAAAAATAGCATATATTTAATATTAGTTACTAAAAACTATATCATTTCATTTTGTTGCTGATTTTGTTTTTGGCTTGCAAGTTAAATGAAAAAGCCTAAACATGAAAAAATTAAATAGATATTCCCCAACATTTAAAGAACAGGAATTTAAAACCAGCAGCAATAACATTTTATTTTTCATATGTGATATATTTACTAAACATGGAGTACTACCCTAGGGAAAGATTTGATAGTATAGTAAGACTATCAAAATTTTAATTGTATTGATTTTATTGCAATTGATATAATTAATAGAGACATTGTCCACCTCTAGCTATGCTGTTACATGCAAAATGATGAACGCTTACTGCGATATTTATTAGTTTAAGCAATCCATTGTTATACAATACAACAAGGGTGGCCAACCCAAATGGCTCTAAGGGACAATTTCATCTCAACTCAGCTAATTGCAGGCTGCAAGTTTTCTTTATCCAATCAAATCAAATGCACTGAAATATTTTTTCATCCTTATGCCCAAATTTCTCAAATGATGACACGTATATAGCCCCACCCCCCACACACACCTAGATTTTAATTAATATAATTCTTTCATAAATACAGGTCTTTTGAGAAGATAAATCCCTTTGATTGATTGGTGGGGGTAGAGAAATTAAGAAGGCTGGCTTAGGTGTGGGGAGGGAAATTTTTTATAAATTAAAAAACTAGTGGATGCATCTTGGGGCACATCTGAATTTGTTTAAAAGCAAAGCACATATGATCGTACCTTGACAAAATGTTATACAAATTATTATTAAAAAAACGGTATGGGCTTTCAGTTGTTAAGATCGGACCTTAACCACCAGTAGATCTATTTGAATATTTATGTTTTCCTAATGAAAAAAGGGCTGCAGACTGAGACAAAAAAATATGAATTAAATAAATTACAAACTGCATCAGTTTTACAACTCATATTTTAACTGTTTAACTACCATGAGCCCATGGGAGCAGCTCAGCGTTTATTCTGTTATGGCCACCAGCCGCTGGTAGCGTCAAGCGTTTGTATCATAGTAAATCGGGTCAAATATTATTATTTTATTCTCGCTTTGCTTTGAGATTTTAATTTACCGACATGATGTTTATATTCAAACCGCATGCTATCAGCATAATGTTTTAAAAAACTAGCTATTAATTAATTTTGATTTAATTTCCAAACTAGTTACAAAATTTTAATACTTGTTTACCGTGGCAACAAAATACAGGGTTACTAAAGGCATACAAGTGATTGGAAGTGTAAATATTATTCAATTTCTGTGTTCTTTGGTGCATTATTCTTATTATTAGATATACTATTTTTAAACCACCAAATAAAATGATTTAAATGATTTAGAAATTAAAAATTTATGCATAAGTGGCACATTTATATATTTTTTTAATTGTTTTTCTGTTGTAAATACCAATTTAACAATTAATAATTTCCTAACACAACTTAACTTTACAAATGTTTTAAGTTTATCTTATAGTATAGACAACTGAATTACCCATAAAATGGGTTAATACTCAGAATATGTTTATAATTAAGAAAACTGCAGCTGAATTTGTACCTTTACCTAAAATGAGAAAATGTGTCCTAGATTTAATTTGGCTACAGTGGCTTTTTCCATCTGGTAGTTAATCAGTTAATAAGTCGATAAGCTAACAGAAAAAATATTTTGATGCTGCAATCGTGAATTACAATTAATTACTATTTATTTAGTGTAAATGCAATGCATATCAATTTTTTTATTTGAAAATTTTACATAAGTGAAAGTGACCTTCAGACTAGGCCTGCTAGATCTCAGATAGAAAGGGAAAATGTGGGAAAAAAATAGATGTAACAGTTACTAGCTTAGACTTATAGAACTATACTAAACAGCAGGCTCATGGCCATTTTGTATTTCATTATTTTATTGAAGTCCTCAACCCTATACAAGTTCAAGATAATCAGCTGCTTAGCTGTGACCACAGCTGTGTGAAAGTGGGCCGGTGGGGGTGGTGTGAAAAGTGGAAACCATCTTTAGAAGAATAAAAAAACACTTTTAATTTTTCATGCATAACGCTGATAATGTGTTGTACTAAATACTTTTTTGGAGGAATTAGGCAACTTAATTAAGGCTTTGCCTCGGGCACAGCTTTTGCTTGGAAAATGATTTTGCTGTGACTAGTTAGTGAGACTGTCAGACATCAGTAAATTTTTAGGGATGATGATGACGATGAGCAGGGCTAAGTCCAGAGGTGAGATTCAGCAGATCCCTTCCAATTCGGCAGAACCGATACTGATGATGTTTAATTTCATTATTAGATGTGGCAAATCGATAGTTAAATCGGGGCTCTCTCTGAGGTAGGTGGCTGCCTGAAGTTGAAGCACAAATGTAACTACTTTTGTATATTATAATCTAATCAAATTTGTTCTTATTTAACTTAAGTTTAAGTGTTAGTCAAAATGCATGAAATAAAATAACTTTAATTATTATTAAACGACTTTTCATTTAGTAATATTTTTTGTTTAGCCTCAGCCTACTTTGTGAATTGTAACTTTATCAGATTACATCAACTTTTTGTATTTATTATGGATGAAAGTTTATCTTATACTTATAATTTATTTTTATGGCTGATACTGATGGCTACCACACTATCAGCCGGCTGTATTATTAATGGATTTAAAAGGGGGATAATATAAATGTTAAACTAAACATTGAAATTATGGGAAACTGTTAATATATTCATACAATATGATTGAAACAGACTTCCAGCTTTGTTGGACACCAACCAGCGTCGCCTTGCCTTATTGATATTGCGCAATCAGAAGACTTCCTTAGAGTATGATTACGGAAGCTTGACACAGCTGATCATAGACCTTATAACATGTCGTCTATTGACTATATTCATAAAATATGAGATCATTGCGATCATATACTTACAAGTAGGAAATTAATTGTTTTATGGAATGTTTAAATTGAACAGTAATTTGAAAATACTGGCACAAATGAATTTAACTCTTGGATTTCTTGGTTTTAGAAGTTAGTTCACGGCTTCAACAAGTTTCTAATAATAGATTACGAACCTGATGCAACAGCTAATGCCAACCAATCACAGATTTGCAAAAAGCGATATTCAGTCCGTAAATTTCGGACCGCATTAAAGACATAAAAGTTTTTTAATAGCTATTTAAATATTTTTTATTTATTATTTTCTTAAAATTTTGTAGAAATTATGTTTAATTAATATGTTTATAACTACTGTAAAGTAGTATTTCAATTAATGCGGTATTAAAACTATTTATAGATAAGGAATCTCGTTTGGAGGTGAATTAAAACTAGTTTGACCTGGGTGGGAAGCTATTGGGAAGAAAGCTAGTGAGGGTTCCCTCACCATGTCAAGGTCGTTATGTGCGTCACAAAACCTGGCCAATGAAAAATCGTCGCCTGTGTTGGTTAATGACGTCTTTATCTATTAATAGTTGCCTTTTCACATCCACAGATTGTATGTGACGCCGCGCCCTGCAACCCATTTATTTATTTAAATTACATTTTCTTAACAAAATACATTTGAAATCATAATCCACACATCTAATTTTTAAGTTTTACAAGTTTTGCAATGAAATTTCATATCTATATTGCATTTTTTATCGTATAGTTAAAACTGGGCCAAGAAATGCACAGCGCGTATGATTACATTTGAATGAAAAAATTCAACCTACGTCAGAGGGTTCCCTTGGACCGCCAATATAAAGGCTTCGCCGCACTGGAAACCCAGCATTCTGAGCAAATCCTAGCGAACACGAAGAGTAACGTTAACAGTTTTTTCAATAAAGTTTACGTGTTATTAACAACTTAGGTTGTTGTTATTGTTGTGGACGTGTGTTTTCCAACCGCCAAGATAGAGCCGATTACATCAGCCTACATTTCTTCATTCGAAGATCTGACCACTGTTGTTCATGGACAGAAATGCCCTACTATAGGTGAACTCATGGATTCACTACAGCTGTCTGAGCTCCAGACTTTCTTCAGTAATAACAAAGGTGAGCTGGCGTCTTACGCTTCTAAAAAGTTTTATGTGGAGTCACTCGACTTCTCTCCACTTGACATTCTCGATCCCATGCTTGAACGTGCATTAGATCTGAGTGAGTACATTTGTCAAGACTATTTCGACCATCACAGATCCAACATTTCTACTCAAATTTCCTCAGATTATCCGGAGCATCAAAGTCTACCACAAGTGGTGCTAGATGCTACAGCTGTGGTCCACGAAGGGAAATACCTGGGCGAAGGGTCTGTGCTACCTCGGACGGAGGTTAACTTCTTGGAGCCTGGCCACAGCCCGGGGTCTTCCGATGGGTCCAGCTACTACAGCGACGATAGTCAAAGCACAACGCAGCCGATGCCAGAGTTTAGTCAGCTGACATCACCAGGGGCCGAGGGACCTAGCACCAGCTTCCAGTGGCCCAGCTGCAGCACTGCAGTCAACAGAGACAATTACCCACTCAGAACGAACACATCGGGCTATAGTTTAAAACACGAGGAGTTTAGTGGTTTCGATACTGAGGACTTTGGAGTACCTACTTCGTTAGCGCACATGGCACCACAGCCTCAATGCTCAACATCTGAGGTGTCATCCTTTCCCTTTGTGACATCACCTTCAACATCGCTCCCTTCACCATCATCCACGATATACTCTGTGTCTAGTCCTGGCACCCCGGGCCCCTCGGGGCCAAGCCGGGGTCGGCGCCCTCACGGCTCAAGCGCCCCTTACTCAACGAAGTCCAGGCGGCGCCACGTTGAGAAGGGGACGATGGAATACGTGGAGAAACGAGCCCGTAACAATGTTGCTGTGCGCAAGAGCCGAGCCAAGGCCAAGGAAAAACAACGGGAGACCGAAGGTCGGGTCAAAGGTCTGATGGACCAGAACCACCAGCTTCAGAAGAAAGTGGACATGCTTACCAAGGAATTAACTGTACTCAAAGGATTGTTCTTGAACGTTGGAGCTTCTATACCTGATGATTTTCTTAAGCTTATCGGAGATTCTTGACAAGGGTAATGTCTGTGTTAAACTTTTTTTTTAAATTTTTGGTTCTGTAAGTTTGTAGCTGAACTATTATGACATTTGTTACCAAGTCTTACAGAGTTGGTGTTTTTTTTTAACACCTGTGTTTTAATGAAACGGTGTCTACGAAATTGCCAAATCTGATGAAGGATTATAGTCAACAAACTAGGCAGCCGAGAAATCCTGTGGTGAATGGTCGCGAGTCTTATATGCTGTGATGTCTAAACTCATTACATTCTGACATCCCAAGTACTATTCTCCGTGAGCATTTCCGGGTGCATGCATGGACGTGTGGTATACTAAATATAAATTATGACATTTACATCTTTTTTTGTTTCTCCTCTCTCTCTCTCTCTCTCTATTGATGATGTTTGATAGCATGAAATGAACACTTAGTTACACTTAGTAGTAGCACACGGGCCCACGATTTATTTGTTGGGCTTGTTGATTAGTTATAGACTGAGTGATTTATTTTTTTAACACGCGCGTAATCCCGGTTTTATACATAATATAAATACATTTATACACGAATACTTTGTTGAAGTTTTGTTCATGTTTACATTGACCACATTGGTGATATGTTGATTTACTTTTTTTTTTATAAAAAAAACACCACACATATTGGGGGAAAACTATGTTTGTATGTATTACTTAGCTTTCTATTGTGATAACTGTTTGACGTATTACTTTAGCTTTCTTGTGATTGAAGCTTATATTCTATACGGTTCCTTTTGGAATCAATGGAGTATGATTTTTCATTATCGTATAGTCAACTTCACTCTCACCCGAACCATCTTCCACAGTCCTGCCCCTGTATTATATTCATACAAATGTTCATCTCCTAGTGCTACCACATGACTCATTCATGCATCTCCCTGTGCCACCACTTCATCTCTTCATACATCTCCTTGTGCTACCATTTCATCCATTCGTACAACTCCTTGTGCTACCACTTCATCCTCTCATACATCTCCAAGTGCTACCACTTCATTCATTCATACATCTCCTAGTGCTAGCAATTTATCCATTCCTACACCCTATCATCTCCTACTCATTTAGTGCTACCGCCTCGTCCATTCCTACACCCTAACATCTCCTACTCATTCCCAAACCCTGTTTCTTTTTTATGTAGAGTATGTACAAATTTAGATTTTTTTAAAATTAAAATTGTTGTCATAATAGCCAATGTTGACCATGCCAAAAATTCTATCTTTAACTTACTTGATCTCTGTCATAATATAGTTTGTTGAGCATCCACATTTTTTGCTAACTATTATTACAACCATTTTATATTATTTATTTTTTTTCCCTTCTGATATTCAATATTTCAATATTTTTCTTACTGGAACATGAAATCCATTTTCATAATGAAAAATAAAATATTTAAAAAAAAAAATAATTAAAAAATGAACAAATAATTAACAAATGGGTTTCTCTGTTTAATTTCTCGGTGCCCTAGTTAAATAGTTGCTAAATGTGTTCGATTATTAGTATAAGCCTCATTAACACACCAACCTCCCCCCAACCCGTCAAAAAAAAAAAAAAAAAAAAAAGGACAAAGTTGTCTAATTGGTATTTTGAGAGTTCTCCGTTCATACTGCAAGTGTTCAATAGAGTTAGCAGCTTTGTGAGCATGTGTCAGGAAGAGGTGTGTAGTTAACATATTGGCCCAAAACGCACACAGCTGAAACAGTTTGAAACTCTGTAAAGAAAAAAAACAACAATTCGTTTTGTTTTCTCTTATTTATTTATTTTTTTCCTCCAAAATTTAAATGTTTTTTTAGAATTTAGAATTATGTTTATTGTTTTCCCCCCAGTGCTTTAACTTTAACGAATTTGATTTGTGTGGTTCATCCATCAACATACATCTGTGTTCGCTCCACAAGAGCAAAGTTGATATCTGATCAAAATGATAATACAAAAATAGTATATGAAATTATAACAATTTACTTCTTTTGTTTTTTTTTTTAAATTTTCAGTTGTTTTCTGTGTGTATGTTTTATCTGGTTTCTACATTAATACCGTAATACAAAATATATTGAAAAATAAACACGTTATCTTAAGGAAACTTTAAAATGTAAATAAATGACAAGAAAATCTAATAAGTTGTGAGACAACAAATTTAATTATTTGTTTTTGCAACAAATAAACAAAATAAAAATGACTTAAATGTAGGCCCATTTCACTGTCGTGTTAAGCTTTATTGAACAGCCCCCCGAATTTGAAATATATTGCTAACAAAGCAACACAATACACTATAATTTTTTTAATTTTTTTATTTACTTTTTCTTGAGCACACACTCACACTTCATAAAATGGAACATCTCCTGTGTCTTGTTTTTCTCATCCAATCCGAGCAACCATAATTGCTGATTCACACACTCAAGTTTTATTATTCCAAAATAGATGGCTAAAAATAAACACCTCTATTCACGGGGCCGCGGTCATGCACTCTGAAAGATCAATTTGGCAACCCCTGGTTTGACGTAGAGATGAGTCGCTATTAATAGACAGGAAAAGACCCCATGACGTCAAAGACATCTGCCGCGGCGAACTAACCTACTTTTTCTGTGCAGACGAGAAAGGTATTGATCCGCTGGCAGCAGACGAAGTGGTGCAAAAGCAGTCCCGCCCCGTTCCAGCACTGATAAAGAGGAATCGTTAAATAAATAAACTGAACTGGATGATATAGGCCCGTTAAACTAATATTAACGTTCAAACAATACATTCGTTCTAGATTCTAGTTAGTTCACTTGACTAAAAGAGCTGTAGTCAATGATTGTATTGCAGGCAATAGAAATAATCAGCACATTGACAGAGGTCTGTCACGTCATAGGCATTAGGTGTAGACCGGCAACATCCGGGGAACCCTTTGCACGTTGGCAGGAAAAAAATTAATAACATGCATTTAAAAATATATATATATTTTTTTAAATATATAAATAGGCATATTCCCAGCTTGTTTGCAACAGCTGGTCCGAAATTGATTATCTTGTACATGGCGAAAGCGTGCCATTTCCGTGGAATTTTCCCCCAGAATTTATCATTTAAAAAAAAAATATTTAGTGCTACTTGATTTTTTTAAACAATTTCTTTAGTCTAGACCTACATTTAAAATCATAGTATATTGACTTTTATCAAGACATTAAAAGATTAAGGAATTGCTTTATGTGACTTGCTAGATGTTCAAGAGCAGATGGTGAACCGTGTTTTCTCTCTGATGTATTAGAAGGCTCCAGTAAACCATCTACATAAACTTGACGGCTCAACTAAATGGTTCACATCATTGGACGACTGAACTTGGTACATTCACATACATTGGACGGCTCAACTAAACGATTCACATAAATTGGACAGCTGAAATAATGACATTCTCATATATTGGACGGCTGAACTAAATGATTCATATAAATTGGACGGCTGAACTAAGTACATTCTCTCATATTGGACGGCTGAACTAAATGATTCACATACATTGGACGGCTAAAATAAGTGATTCACATTAATTGGAAGGCTGAACTAAGTACATTCTCTCATATTGGACGGCTGAACTAAATGATTCACATAAATTGGACGGCTAAAATAAGTGATTCACATTAATTGGACGGCTGAACTAAGTACATTCTCACATATTGGATGGCTGAATTTAAATGGCTCACATAAATTGGAACCTGAGCTAAGTAAATTCTCATACATTTGACTGTTGAACTAAGTACATTCACATATTTTGGAGGACAGAACTAAATGATTCGCATAAATTGGACGGCTTAACTAAATGATTCACATAAATTGGACGGCTAAAATAAGTCATTCACATAAATTGGACAGCTGAAATAAGGACATTCAAATACATGATTCATATGAATTGGACGGCTGAAGTAAGTAGCCTACTGTCACACGAAAGACGTCAATTACAAATTTATTCCGTACATTCATTCACTGATTGGATTAACTCCTAACGCCTTTAGCAGCTATCAAGAACCAGGCAGGTCAAAGACAAGGGTTCAATCCGTTGGGATTATGACAACATTGACACAGACTACAGACAGGACATCAGCTGAAAAGATAAGTATAATCAAATCTCACAGTAAGGCTTTCATCAAAATTGTATCTAATTGTTTTATCTTAACTACATTTCAGCTTTGAGCACCACGTTTATTTTTGTTAACAGCTAAAATTTTGCAGTGGAATGAGTGAGCTCTGAACATTTGATCAAATTGTGCAGTGGAATGATTGAGCTCTGAACATTTGATCAAATTGTGCAGTGGAATGAGTGAGCTCTGAACATTTGATCAAATTGTGCAGTGGATTGAGTAAGCTCTGAAACTTTGATCAAATTTTGCAGTGGATTGAGTAAGCTCTGAACATTTAATCAAATTGTGCAGTGGAATGAATGAGCTCGCTCTGAACATTTGATCAAATTGTGCAGTGGATTAAATGAGCTCTGAAAATTTGATCAAATTGTGCAGTGGATTGAGTAAGCTCTGAACGTTTGATCAAATTGTGCAGTGGATTGAGTGAGCTCTGAACATTTGATCAAATTGTGCAGTGGATAGAGTGAGCTCTGAACATTTGATCAAATAGTGCAGTGGATTGAGTGAGCTCTGAACATTTGATCAAATTGTGCAGTGTATTGAGTGAGCTCTGAACATTTGATCAAATGGTGCAGTGGATTGATAGAGCTCTGAACATTTGATCAAATTGTGCAGTGGATTGAGTGAGCTCTGAACATTTGATAAAATTGTGCAGTGGAATGAGTGAGCTCTGAACATTTGATTAAATGGTGCAGTTGACTGATAGAGCTCTGAACATTCGATCAAATAGTGCAGTGGATTGAATGAGCTCTGAACATTTGATCAAATTGTGTTGTGGATTGAGTGAGCTCTGAACTTTTGATCAAATTGTGCAGTGGACTGAGTGAGTTCTGAACATTTGATCAAATCGACCACTTTATGTTAGTTCAAGTAGAAACATTAAACTTGAACACATTCCAAATCCTCGATCCAATATTTGCAAAAAATGCATGTAATTCCAAATCCTTCCTTGGTGGATCCCTGATACCCCCCCCCCGCCCCACCCCTACATGACCCCAGTTTCAGTCTGCATATTTTCAATGAGCTGGCCCCTCGTGTGCGGGGAAGATACATTGAATGCTGTCTCTTGGTAATTGTTATATATCGACTTCATATCAGCCTTTAAACTTTTAACCGATTCCCACAAAATGATTTGACATAATCTGAATTGTTTTATTATTTCTCATTATGGTTTAATTAGTATTTATTCATTCATTTTTAAAAGATTTTTTTATTATTATATTACGATCATTTCTTTTAAAAATGTTTCGATTTAAAAATATTGACTAAGGCAAAGTTGCATCCAAACCCAGGCTCATACAATTACCTTTAAAAGCAAATACGCATCTGACTGAAAGAAATGTTTAAGGTGTTGTTTATGTTCTAAACTAGTGACTGTGTTTTTTTTAAATACAAAAAATTATGCCAACATTTAAAACAAGGGTGGCCAACATGAGGCCCGCGAGCCGCATGCGGCCCGCCAGGAGTCATGTTGCGGCCCGCGGAGCTAGGTCCAATAAACATAAATGTTAACTTTATTGTACATATCATCAAAAGAGCATTACATCATGACTCGTTCGTATCGTATATTTTAAAAAAAAAAATGATAGCTTAGAGTAATTTGAAATATCCCGCGTTTCAACGACAACAACAAAAAAAAAAAATTCATTGGTTTTGAGCTATTTCAAAAACACGCTATTAGACAATCAAGTTGATTTAGATTCTGTCCGACGCCAGGTGTTGATCAAATTTAATATGAGACTTCAACTTCTGATGTATATGTTCTTTGGTCTTCGGCGTCTTCGAGAAACTCGCAATTCTATCGGGCTCGATGCTCATCATTACTTCCAGTCCAGATGGACGAATCTCCGTGTTACTCTGGAGTTTCGTTTTGTTATCGCCACTGCGTCTGGACATTTGATCAAATCGACCACTTTAGTTTAGTTCAAGAGTTCTGGACAGGTTTGGACTATCAACTATTTTTTCCTGGAAATTAAAACAAAGCCCATATGCTTGATGTTTCTGTTTGGAATTAAGAGTATAACATCAAACGGCACTAGGAGATTAAACATGCAAATAAGTTTGATACGTACAAAGGGAAAATTCGACAAGACAAAGTAAATGACTTAAAAAAAAATTCTGCACATCAAAAGATATTTATTAGAGAGGGTTCAGAGTCAACATGCTATGCAAAAGCTAGTTATGCGGTAGCCATGATGCTAGCAAAAAAATCGAAATGGTTAAGGAATGTTTGGAGAGCGTCGATGAAATGC